TTATTATTATTATTATTAGAATTCACGAAGAGTTAAATTGTGAATACGCTATATTATGATTAAAAGTGGAGTAAGCTAAGGTGCTGGTATGTTCTCGGACTCGTTGAAATTATCGTCGGCTAGATACAAGCTATATCAGACGAAATCCAAAAGTTTTGTCTGTTTTTTAATTGCAGTTTTTTTTTTAATAACGTGTTATCGGTTGCATATATATTATTATGTGTTCAATTAATATTTTGACGGGATTCAATTGTACATACCGTATTTTAAAAAAGAGAAATAAGGCCTCCGTTATACTCATATGTAGGTAAGTCGACGTTATTCATAATAAGCCTATCAACTTCCTGATGAACCTGCCGGCAAAGCAGCACCCAATAGCCCAATCAAGCTCACCCACCAATGATGATCGCCAGATGCAAGGAAAGCCTTCGCGACCAAGAGGAGATAGACTCCCAAAAAAAGCATGGGGCACAGGGGGGAAAAGTTTGCTCCGAGGAGTGATCAGGTGTGTCTTGTGTCTGAAACCAGCTCCTCATGGAGACAATTAATAATAGCAGGAAAACCCTGGGGTGGACGCTGGAAAGGAGAAATGAGCAGCTGTGGACATGTGCTGCCTGCTATGATTCTAGCTCTGGGTCCAAGTAATCCGAGTAATCCAAGTAAGCCTATCATTTTAATAAGAAAAAAAAATTAATAATTCAAGTTTGCTTTCTAGGCTTAGAACCTGTGACAGCTTGCCACTAATGATATAAACCTACGGAAAACAACTGTTTAAAAAGATAAACTAAATATAGAAGAAAACTCAGGTCTCAAAGTGAATGGAAAAAATACCAATTACGTCAGATGGGCTCGAAGAGGCCTAACTGATGACACCGTTTAAATTGCAGACTCAGAAACAAAGAATCTTCAATTATTGTTGTTTATGGACACTGCTGTTAAGGAGAGTGGACGAAAAGTGAGAGCAAGGATAGTGGAAATCGCGTGGCACAATGATTGCGCTAGCCTAGTAGAAGCCAGTATGTTAAAAAAGGCGATCAAAGAAGTCGCCACCGTACAAGGCATGCTGTTATCCGCGAGAGCACGACTTTAACCACTTACTGCCAGAGAAGGAGCATACATCGTGTTTAACAAGGCAGTGAACGAGTTAACCACGGCCTATACGTTCTCTGACCGTCTAGACCACGGCGCATCATAATTCATATCTGGCCGGTGAGCTTGGCCCGGCGGGCCTAGGGCGGATCGAATGATTTACGACTGATCTTCTGATACGCATGAACGATCAGTTTATATATATATGGGCTTTAATTCCACACCACAGTCGCTTGCAGTAAACAAAGATCGTGAATAGAGAATCTTTGGTATAAGTTTATTATTCTAACATTATTATTTTAGCTAGCTGTCCTTTTTTTTTTTAAATGTCTGATCCAACGATTTTAGATCTCCCTGGCTTGACTAATTTTTGACAGTTATAAGTTATAAAGACAATTTTCTGAAATTCAGGTGCAATCACTTTTTGATGTTAAAAGACATTATTAGCACGTCGCCCTTACGTAAGCTTTTAAGAGAAATTACACTGTATTGGAGCTACTCTCCTTCAAACCCGCGTACCAGTACATTTTTAATTGTACTTGTGTGTGTGTGTGTGTGTGTGTGTGTGTGTGTGTGTGTGTGTGTGTGTGTGTGTGTGTGTGTTTGAGCACGAAACGACAATGTGATAGACAGAAACCCCAACAATTATTCTACTGTGAATAATTTAGTTTTTAACAAATACTTATATCTATTTCACAGTGTTTCACTGTCCTGCATACGAGGATCACATTACAAGAGCTTCACAGCAACCGCCACGATGGACGACCGAGCTGTGGCGACAGAGCAATATGTAGAATTCACATGTGGAGCGGAGAATCTTTCTCCCTATTCCAACACCTCCAGCTACTCAGAGCCCCCTTCATATTACCACACAGACTATGAGTGGCAGCAGCAGCAACAACAGCAGTCCCACGCCCAACAAATCCAACACCAACAGCCAATGCTGGAGTCTGACAGACATTTTTACCCACTGTATGCAAGCGGCGGTGACGTGGCTTCTCATCCGTACCCCTACTCCCAGCACCCCAGTGCGGCTGACTACTATCAACAGACGAACGGCCTATGGGCACCTGGGGCCACTGATTCTATCACGGCTAGTCAAATGGCCACTTCCCATCGTTTCTTCTCCGGCATCGACGTGAGTCAGCAGTCGAGAAGTCACTCTTCTTCCACTGCAGCAAATGGACCTAACGGAAAGCCAAAGAGGAAGAGAGTCCAGTCTCATACTCAAAGGAAAGCAGCCAATGTCAGGGAACGCCGACGCATGTTCCATTTAAACGAGGCGTTTGACGAGCTGCGAAAGAGGTTGCCAGCCTTCAACTACGAGAAGCGACTTTCTCGCATCGAGACTCTGCGCCTGGCTATGACCTACATCTCCTTCATGAAAGAAGTGAGCGTGGGGCAGGACCCTAAATGTGTCAAGCTAAAACCACACGGCTCTGAACTGCCAGGTGACGCCTTAGGACATAGCCCCACCTCCAAGTTGTTACACGCCGCCTTCGGAAGTGGTGAGTCGGGGGACACACTGATGGAAGACGGGGACAGCGATTGCAGCAATGATGAACATAGTAACCACAGTGGGTGAATCTCTCTTTACCCTCTGTTTCCTCTGTACTGTGAACTGTGGACTTCAGAGTCTGACCACGGTTGGACTCACAGACAAATACGATGAACTATAATGACGTCACTGCTCTGAATGCCGCAAGACATATTATATTGTATGCCTAGTAATGCATCAAACTTCTAAAAAAATCTTTTAGAATTCTGGGACTAAAGAATGGTGATTGCTATAGCGAAAATGTTGACGCTAAGGACAAACATTATACTGATGCCAAATGCTTTCTGCGTCTGGCGATGCAGCTGATCAAAGTGCTGGCAAACCACGACAGACGACGAAAGACTAACAATACTGTCGTCTTGACTGCTTCGCCTTGGTTCTTTCAGTTACATAGAATGGTTCTTCAAATTCATGTCTGGCATTGTTTGAGTGCAAAGTGATTTTTGCCTGGAAATGTTCTCAGTTTCTAGAAAATCAGGTCAAATTCAAAGTGTCTAGTCAAACGTTTTCACATTCCTTTTCAAAGATAACTTATACATATCGTTTACTCTGTACTTGCTTGGCTTAATACTTTTTAATACACACTTTTCTTCGATCACTATATTTATACATGTGCTGAGTGAAAACGCTTAGTCTTACCCCAGTTTACGACATGAGTCTTCTGATACCTTTATTTTTGTCTTATACAAACATATGTCAGGTATTTTCACCTTGTGTTCAATCATTCCAATGCTCTCAAAGATTACTGTAACACATCCCTATAGTTGACAAAGCCAGTGAGTTCTCTCTTCCATGAGTATCGATTTCGTTCTGCATTTGCCAAGAGAGTTGCATTCTAAACGCAATAAGTTAAAAGAACGCCAACAACAGTGAAAAGAACTGCTGAAGCCACGAAAAGAGAACCTAAGTATTTAAAGTCCTATAAGTTGAAATTACTTTTACATTGGAAATAGGCAGAAAATGTCTTCATGAAACCTCGTTCGTTACAATGAACCATTCGCTGTCGTTACAAAGACCTGCTTTTTATAGATTAAAAATGACGGTTTTAGAGCGTTGCAAGGTGAAGGTCATAAATAGAACAGAAAGCTTTAGGAAAAGGGGTGGGAACAGGGTGGGTATAATCTGTCCATACATCAAAGAAAAAGCTCCGTCGACGGTAACCAAGCACATCTCTTTTTAATCACCCTCATTATCACCAGATTCGTATCAATATCGTAATTTTCCAGATTGTCCCAAGCTTAGCCCCAAATTTCAACCAATTACTCCCCCCCCCCCTTCCTTTTCACATCTATTTTCCCCACGATGATCTCATCGTCTCCACTTAATGAGTCATTGCCGTGTGTGATTACATGAAACTTACCGTCACTTCATCGCTAATGACGTTATAGAAAAAGCTGCCTCTTTATAACTCGTGTTCTGCATTTTTTTAAAAACCCAGTCTAGTAGTCACAGACATAATGCTTTAAAGGTGAGCAGAAAGTGCAGCACAAGGAAACGAAAGTAAGATTTAGGACGTGGCGCCTGCTGTAGTTTGAACTTGATCAAAGGGGGTAATCGCGATATACTGGTAAAAGCCACTGAAAGGCAGACCGCAGATTTTCAGATAGATTTGAAAATCCAGCATAAATACTGTATGAGGGAGAGCAAATTCGCTTTTCAGAGCTCCTGTAAAATGGCCGCTCGTCCGCTTTTGTTAGAGAAAGCGCCGTAAAGAAGGGAAGAGAAAAGAAGCTGTTGCCTGTCTGCCCTCATCGTTTTTTCTTCGTTTGAAGAGTGGCTTCTGTAATCCATCACACCTTTTGTGTGTCAGTGTAAATAACGTGCTCGTCCCGTCCCTCGTTAGATAATGTTCAAAGGTGTGCACAGATACAGTTAGTCTGAGGCGCAATGCTGTGAGCACAGACTATCTCGTTTCTTCAGAGCAAGGTTAGCTCACTCCCTTATCTTGAGTGTCTTTGATTTTTTTTCGTGTGTTTTTTTTTTGGACCACATAATCCAAACTCTCCGAGCAGCTCATCCCTCACCACTCCCTGTCGTCGAGCCATTCTGGAACCACTCCCTTCTCCCTAAGCCTTATCCCCCCACCCCCCCCCCACCCTCTCCCTAGCTTTTGGTTGACCCTGTCATCTCAGTGTCGATTTGTCTAGTGGTCGTTTTCAATTCCAGAATATGCTCAGAGTTTTTATTTGAGATTTAAAATTCGGGTATTCACCGGCGCCTCAAGGCAGGTGCTTTGTGCAGAAACTGAAGACAGGTGAAATGACGCGCGCGCGCGGGGGCGCGCAGTCGCACACACAGCCTGAACGTCCCTTCTCCGGGTAGGCAGATTTATTGAGGGCGGCAAAGCTCGAGTTACCTGCTGTGGTAGCACAGCCTTGACGTGCCGCGTTCGCCACAACCGAAGGGGGCGCGGTTCTTGTGAGGGCGGAAGGCGCAAGGACAACCGGGGCTAACTACGGTCACCCATGACGGGCCGCTTTTGTCCGTGCTCGCCCCAATACAGACAACTAGTTTTTGTTTGCTTTTTTCAATAACAAAGAAAACAATCCATCCCTCGCGCACAAGAGTAGAAAAAACACAATGGTACGCTTGATGTTACGTGCCTTTCCAAACAGTTCAGTCAATTCGTTACATCAGTGTCATGAGTTCTCGTTATAACGCACCCAATGACCCTACAGCGTCTTGCAGCCGCTTTAGTTTTTAGCATGATCTACCCTTCACTGCCCCCCCCTCACGATGGAGAAAATCCCGAAAGCCCAACTGATATTGATACACGATATCCGTCTTTAACACCTCTCCCCTCTCCCCACTCCTGCTCACCTTCCATCTTACTGCTCTTTTTCTACCAACCAACATTGCGCCCAAAATCGCACACTCAGTGATGGAAATTATAAAAATCCGAACTCCATTCCTATAAATTCAAAACGTAACTCTGTCCTATTTACAGGGGCCCAGAGGTGTGATTGGACAAGTAATTTTTGTGCTCATTCTGGATAAAAGTCTGTGACACTGTTCTCTGTCTCATGTTTACAAAAATGTATGCTCTACACACCGTAATTTAAGCAGACCATTAACACAGTTACCCATTGAGCTTATTTCCTCATTTTATATTAATTATGTACATGTTGTTCAATACTGCATAACTATATTTCAACTCATATAATATACTGGGAATTGACAATTGATTGTTTATTTTTGCTAATATCACTTTACATCAACCAAAACAGATCTCAGTCTGGCTTGCAGCTTATCTTACTTAAACCACTTCTTTTATTTTGACAGCGACAGAGACTGTAGAATGAAGCTAAAAATAGGATGACTTCATATGATTAACACTCTCAGCTACATATCATTATAGTATTATTCAAAGTAGAAGGCGGCCTAAACTTAGCAGCCTGAACTTCCCTGATGTTCTGACTTCATTGTAACCCCGCTCCCCCTTTCCTCTTTTCCTCCATCCCGAATTTTACCCAAAAGAATATTATTATATTATATGAAATTTATCGAAATCTGTAGTATATAATTTTTGTGAGGCTATAATAATTTGGACAATCTCAACAGTTTGACATACCCGACGAACACTTTACTCGTTAGATCTTTATGATATTGTGCACTCAGCTCGTTCTTGGTGCATTTTGCCCTCTCAAAAACATAAAAATTTCTTAGATTTGCCAAGGTTTGACAGGTAACGGTTATTCTAACATACTAGGAGAAATTTTTCAGTCGAAGAATACGACGGGTTGTGCCTTTGAATGCTGCACTGGCTCCATGACAACACGTTATCTCTGTTACTATTCGTATTCTTTACGCTTTTATTCTGAATTGGGTGACTCATACCCTTTTGTCTTCCATCTATTCATATCGATTTATAGTGTCTCCCCCTTCACCCCCCCCCCCCCAACCTGCAAACACAATGAACTCATACAAACAAACACATCCACAGTCATACTATTTTTTATGTACTAGTACAACACAGCAAGCATCAAATTAACACCCTTTGACATTCCCTCATTCCTGTTTTGTCATTTCCATGGTTCTCGTTCAAGATGAACTTGGCAACACCAATGGTGCCTTAAATTCAACTGCCTTATGATTATCATACTATTTTATGTACCATACCCATAATTACTGTTATACATGAGATCTTCCAACGCTAAAGAAATCCATTTAATAATTTGTTACCGCTCATGTTTATCTCACTCAGTCTAAACTATGGCTTTTGTGTTTAGACTTCTGATATATCTTTTTTTTCTTTTGTTATTGTTATGTAAATGTCACGATACCATTCCAAGTAATTGTTGTTGAACTTGGCAAGACGTCTCTTCCTGAAACCACACTGCTGCTTTACCCATGTTGGCATGGTACTGACTGCTGATGCTAGGGTACAGTACCTAACCTTGTGTTCATAACGTCTTTTACTGACCCATTTATCTGTCTGGTTTATTTATATTATTATTATGAATAGTTTTTTTGTCTTCCTTGAAATGTACACAGAACGGACTATACATGATGGTGTAAATGTGCGGCAACTAACGTGCCTTTGATGAGATAATAATAATATGTAAAATTATCGTCTTCAGCGCTACATTGTTGATGGCGAACACAAGCGTTGAGAGTCATGTGTAGTTGTTATGGTGTTGACTCCGTTAAAAAAAGGAGGGCAGCGCTGTTCAGCTGTTTATGCGTTTGTTATAATGTGTGTGTGTGTGTGTGTGTGTGTGTGTGTGTGTGTGTGTGTGTGTGTGTGTGTGTGTGT